AAAAAATTACTAGATAAGAGAATGAGAATGACAAAAGGAACAAAATCTGAACTTCTCATGACAAAACTGTAGTTTTTTATTAGTAACTTTAAATGGAGATCAAAATAACAGAAGTCTGTGGTTTTTTGTTCCCATTAGGCATTATGTACGCTCTGTTATTAAGAAAGGGACTCCCCCAGGCTCTGGTTTGCCCTCTCTTTCTGAAACTGATGAAACTTCAACCTTTAGCCAGACAGACCTGAGTCAAAAAACAAGAGCTGTATCTCAGGTAACTATGTTACTCTTACTATTGGCCCACCTCTTAAAGATAGATTTTTTTCTTAAATTGTGAAATATATTATACACACACAAAAGAATATATAATATGAATCTGAGCAGTATAAAGAATACTATTAATATTAAAATAAATATCTTATGACCTAGGTTAGAAAATGGAATATTCACCTACTATAGAGGTCACCTGTGTGTTTCTTTTGGATCATATTTCCTATCTGCCATTCAGACTTTGGTATTAAACAGGTCTATAATCTTCTAATCTTGCCAATTATGTATGTATTTGCAAATGACATACAGCTTAGCTTGTTATATAATTTTAGTGGACTCCTATTGTAATAATTCTTCTGTGACTTCTTTCACTTAACTGTTCGTGATGTTACAGTTCATTCATGTCACTAGCCAGTGGTATTTCTGGTGTAACTATGCTACATTTTTTTTAAATCTACCACAGTGTGAGTGGCTATATCCGTCACTTTCTTTTTTCTCACTATTGTAAGCAATGGTGCCATGAATTTTCTTAAATGTCTCCTATATGAGTATAGTTTCTTTAGTTGCAGCGTTCATAGCTTTTTATGTGCTATGGCTCCCTTAATGATTTTGTAAAACTCTAACACGTGATGAAAAGAACTCAGCTCTTTCTGGGTGTTAACTGAGGATTGTTGACAGGCAGTAGCAGAAAGCAGCACAGCTGTCTGCGTTAGCATTGCGAGAACACACACTTTGCTATTCAGTGGTTGAATGACTACTAAGCATAGTTGTCATGGCTGACCACCTATAGGTCAAAGGAGTATCTGTAAGACAGGAAGATATAACCACATAAAATACAACAATGTGTCTAATACCTGCTGTCATTTCAAAGCAGTGCTCAGCATACATGATCTTTTAAGATATTTGCAACAACTATAATATAATGTAGAACATGGTGATTTTGTTTGTAGGAAGGATCACAGTTATTTCTAATAATACTGTGGCTACTCACCTACACTGATAAATTGATAATTGAGGAAAATATTGAATTTCAGGTAAAGATGTAATTTTTTTCAACCATCTATGTTAATGGATTCCTGAAATTTAACTATGAGCCCCAGTGGACACTAGATTAGGAAACCTTACTCTAGGATATAAACCTGGGAGTACAGTTTATGGATCATAAGGCATTCACTGTTTAACCTTACAATGAAATGCGAAACAATTTTACAATATGTGTGTGTCAATATCCACACAGCACTGAATGAGAGTTTTCTTTGTGTCACATCCAGCGTTTAGTATTGTACAATGTTTGCCAATGTCATGGGTGTAAAAGGTCATTTTATTTTTTAGTAGGAAACATATTGACATATTCAAAAATTAAAAATATAGCAGCCGGGCATGGTGGCTCAAGCCTGTAATACCAGCACTTTGGGAGGCTGAGGTGGGAG